TACGAAAGCTTAGCACTTTTTCCACGGAATCGAAGGAGATTACCTCGGAATCAGCGCCAGCATGAATGTTCCAGTAAAGCCAATCGGCAGTTGGTCAAGATGAATCAGCCATCATCTTCTGGTGTGATCGACCTTCGAATCTCTTCATCAAACCATTTCACTAGAATTCGAAGTAAGCACAACAATTATGAACCAATAGATCCCTCGAAACCCAACTTTTCTTCGCATAAACTAGAAATTGTTTAAAATAGGATGCATAGAAGCAGACTAACGAATGTGCTAATGATGCCGATGCTGATGCTGTGTAGAATGGTGAGAGCGAGGAGAAGAAGAGACACAAGCCACAGCTTACCATTGTCTTGAAAGTAGGCGAGCCAATTATTGACACTGTCCTGAGTGGAGAGGTCGGCGATAAAAGTGGTCACCACCAGCTTACCATCCGGCTCCAGTGGGGAAGAAGAGACGGCTTGTCTGGACGTGGCTGTACCAGCCGATCCAGCGCCAAGGGTACCAGCATTGTTGCCAAGACCGGGTCGACTTGAAGGCGGCCATTGCGACTGGCCTGAAGGTGAGCCAGTGCTGCAGGTGGAGACGGGCCGTCGTTGACCGACTCCAAAGGGGACGGAGAGTCCGGTGGAGCCTGCGGTACCGGCGATCGTGGATAGGCCAGAGCCTCCAGACGGGTTGGTATACCGTCGAGCCAAGTGTGGGTCACCTCCGAGCCCGGAGGCAACGGAAGCGGCGCCAACGGTTGGGGCCGTCGTGGTCGACAGTGAACCGGCAGAGTGAGCCGGTACCGGCGAGTGCGAAGAAGGGGATGACGAGAGGGGCTCCGTAGAGGTTGTCTCGATGCCAGTCTGGTGGGCTTTTGCCTGAAGTTGTTGTTGTTGTTGTTGTTGCATGTGTAGCCTCGTCCTCTCCGCCGAGGCTTCACGAGCAAGGACATCCGTGAAGAGGGTGGAGAAGGCGAGGGTGCGGGCTCGCCAATCGCGCTCCAGACAGGCGTCCAGGTCGGACATCAGATTCAGCGCCAGCTCGGTCCGACGCCAGCGGGCCGCATCGCCGAGTCGGCCGCGATGGAACTCCTCGGCTATGGCAGTTCATGAAATGGTGGAGAAAGTGGAGCGTCAAGTCGACAAGAAGACAGGACGAAAAAGACAAAAACCGAGACAATCCGGTCGCAACATCAATAGTTA